GGAAACCTTGTGCAGCTAGATTAATTTATCTCTTGGGAATAAAAACACATTAATAACTGAGATAATGTTTTCATATATGTTGGATATGAGTGCATTTTACTTCCTTATTTAAAAAAAGCACATTAAGAGAAAATTAGCTCATTCTCAGTAAGCCCCCATTTCTGAGAAAGTTTGTTTCCTTCACAAAAACACTGGGGAATAATGTCACTAACTCAAAGTGAACACACTAGAAATATTCCTGAAACTCTTATAAAATCAATGATTGTCTTAGAAAGAAAAGTGTTTATTTACTAAAACCAGCCATGTTGTGTTTGTTTGCTTGTTTTGTCTATTTTAAATAAACCAGAGTTTATGTATTTTCATAACATTTTTTTTCATTAATAAATTCTGCACCAGCTAAAAATGGAGTAAAAGTAAAATTAAAGGAATCACATTTAAAATGATTCATAATTTTGGCTTCCTAAAGAAATGATCTTTTCTGTAAGCTGTAAAAATGACTTGGCTGATTGATAAAGAACTGTATAATTTCCCAGTGAATACCCACTGGTCTCAGGCCACGTCTTGATGTAATGGAATAGTATTTAATTTACTTCAAACTGCTGTACATTGAACTGTATGGATTACATACAAAGCAAACACTGGATGTGTGGCAGGAACTCCTGTGCTGACATGCCAAAAAATATGTCCACAGTATCCAACTATACATCAAATGGAATAATCCCAATGTTTGCCAAAATAAAGCAAGCAAAAGAGCACCAGATCTGAATTAACTATCTTTGAAACAGATCTTCCAGATTTTTTGCTCACATTCAGGGCCATCCTACCAGAAGGCAGAGTGAGGCAGTTGTCTCTGGAAAGCAATGGCAAGATGCTGGAAGACAAAGCTATTATATGACATATGGCATGCCCTGAGTCTCCCAAGCTAAACTCTTGCTCTGCTGCTCACTATGCTGTTCCATCTTCATCATTGACGCAACCATTAAGACTCAACTCTAAATCTGTCCAGTGTCAGTAGTTGGAATAGGACTGTGTGCCATGTTACCCTTTGTCACAGGCATCAAAATGTGCTTGCCCAGTTTTGCTTATACAGTAGTGCCTCAATTTACGCATGCCCCTACCTACGAACATTTTGACTTATGAACAGCTCCGGTCACAAAATGTTGCTTCGACTTGCAACCGGAGCTTCCACTTACAAACACAAGAAGGCTGGGGAAAAGGGCAGGAAATTCAAATAGCTAACTGTAGGTGGCTATGAGGCTGCTTCTTTGTAGCTCTTGCACCCTGGCAATTAGAGAGCGTGTGATCCGACAAGGCTGCCTGCTAAGGTAAGGTGCTGCTTTATACTTTTTAAAAACTGTTTCTGTGCTGTGATGGGTCTTGGGGGGTTGTTTGTTTTTTGGTTCCCCCCCCCTCATTTCCGATGGGGGGGTTGGTTGCTTTTTGGAATGTTTTTCCCCCATTTCTGATGGGTCTTGGGTTTTTGGTTTTTTGTTTGTTTTTTGTTCCCTCCCATTTCCAATGGGTCTTGGGCGGTTTGGTTGCTTTTTTTTCAATTTTCATTGTGTCTTGCATGCTTCCCTTGCTTTTTGCTTTGTTCTCTGTGTATTTCTGATCTGTTCCGTTTGTTTTCTGTGCTTTTGCAATGGTTCTTGCATGCTTCCCTTGCTTTTTGCTTTGTTCTCTGTGCATTTCTGATCTGCTCCATTTGTTTTCTGTACAGTGTTTTTGCAGCTTGGGTTTGGGCTAGGTCGGGGCGGTTATGTTTCTGTGCTCTGATGAGTCTTACAGACCCTTTCTGCAAGGGTCTGTGCTGGCTGGTTTGCTTTAAAATGGAGTTTAGTCTTTCGGTTTTAAAATCAGAAATGTTTTTGCAAAGGTCTGTGCTGGCTGATGGGCTCTAATATGTTGCTTGGTTTGGTTTAAAATGTCTTGGTGTAAAGTGTATGAGTTTAAAGTGTGTGGGTTTAGCATGTGTGGGTTTAAAATGTGTTTTAGACTCCAAACTCTCCCCCCATTGTCTTCTCTCTGTGTGTCTTCTCTCTTTTTGTGCTTAAAAGCACAAACCTTTGTCTGAGGGGTCTGTGTGACCCAGTGATAACCTTCTTTCTTTCATCTTTTCCCCATTCTTCCCTCCCTTCCTCCTTTCCTGCCCTTTTTTAACCTAAGTTCATCTTAGGTTAATTTTTTCTCTCTCTCCCTAGTGGTAGAGGATGGATTAACAGGTTTTGCATTAGTTCCTATGGGAACCTACTTAATAAGTAGGTAATCTTAGGTTAATTTTTTCTCTCTCTCCCTAGTGGTAGAGGATGGATTAACAGGTTTTGCATTAGTTCCTATGGGAACCTACTTATGAAGTAGGTACGTTCTCATAGGAACTAATGCTTCGACTTACAACCGGCATCTCTACATACAAACAAAAAAACAGCCGGAATGGATTAATCGTGTTTCAATGCATTTCAATGAGAAATGCTGATTCGACTTACAAACATCTTCCAGGATGGATTAAGTTCGTAAATCGACGCACCACTGTATCAGAAACCTCTATAAATCCACTAAAGGTTTTCAAAGCATGTGAATAGCATTAAGAATAGGCAGCTAGATACTTATTTTATTTAGTTATTTATAACTAAATGGGACTCTGAGACTGGGACTCTAGGGAGCTTTAGAATATCATCTTGAGAATATTACCGGTGTGTGTTTTGGGTTTTTTGTTTTGTTTTGTTTTTTGCTGGATAGCATATAGCATAACAGAAATGAAAGTGGAAAACGGTGTTCTATCCTCTCCACCACATAATCAATCAATATATTTCCTTTGGTCTCTTCTCTGTCATTTATTGCATTCATGTCTGCCAGATTCCCAAAATACTCCTTAACACACACACCCCATCACGTTAACTACTGTCCAGTATGCTTTTTAACCCTTTCCTGCTTACTAGTGCTCCACATAACTGGCTGTCTGATTAGGGGTTTTAAGTGAAATTGTTGTCCCTTACCACTTTGAATGTGTTTCAGTGTTGTTTATATTTTTAAGTATGGTATTTGTTTGATCCTGTTGTTCGCTTTATCTAATGTCTTTTAATGACGTAAGCCACCTTGGGTCCTTTTGGAGGAGAAAGGTGGGGTATAAATATTTCAAATCAACAAAATAAATAAATGTTCCTACTATTCCAACCAGTCTTTTCTTCAGATCCTCTCAGCACCTCCTACAGTCTGGCTTCCATCATCTGCATTCTGCTAAAACTGTCCTCATCCTACTGGACTTCTCTTGTTTCTTTTGAATTGCTTTCTCCTGCCCAACTTCTTTCATACATGGGCCTCCATGATTCTCTGTTCACATCTGGTTTTCATCTAGTTCTAACTTTTCTAATAACTTGTTCAGTGTTTCTACAGGGGAAGTTTTCTTCTACATTTCCTTCTCCCTCTTGGAATCTTTCAGAGATGTGTTCTTCAACCTCTGCTACTTTCTCTTTAACATACTACCCCTGGCTGACCCTGTCAAATATCATGGCTCAACAGTACCTCTACCTACAATAGGAAATGTCTTTGACTACAACTCCAATCATTGCTAACTGTTAGCTGTGCTGGAAGGACAGACTTCATTTTAACTCCAAGGACATCTGGAAGGCCACACATTTCCCACCTGTAACCTATATGCTGATAGTTCCTTATTCTCGCACATGAATTTTCTACTTCATTCAGTACTACATCTTCCTACCTGATATTTCTCCTTGACTGTTGCATGGCAGTGTCAATACATCCAAGACAGAGTTCTTCACTTTTCTTTCCAAGCCTTCTGCTTCATTAAGGCTCTCCATATTAATCTCAAGCATTGAAATCCATCTTTTATTCAAGCACAAAGCATGATTACAGTCTCCTCATCCCATTTGCTATCCATTGTCACACTATTTCCAAATCAAATGCTTATTCATAAGCACCATGGCAAAAAAGTGGTTTCTCTCAAGCATTGTTGGTTACTTTATATAGCCATCTCCTATTCTGACCACTGCATTTTTTTTCCTATCTCTTATTTTGAGGTCACAGTTTTAAAACTAAAATCTCTGCCTACTATGTTCTTCTTTGCTTCTGAGCCCAGGTCTTTGTTCCACAGAACATGCTGAGTCTCTCCTTGCCTATCAGAGGGCAAAAGGGGGACTTTCTGGTGCACATTCCTCTTTTTTTAAAAACACACACACTATATACTCATATTTTGAGGTTATTGAGGGCTGATGACTGCATGCAGCCCATATTGCCCGCAACTGACTTAAACCATGGTTTAGAATGCTGGGGACACAACATATGAAAAAGCCCCACAAAACACCTGGTATCCGCGTATACGTTTCTAACCCAAGCTGACTTTTCTGTCACATGCTAGCAAACAAACAGTTCCCCCTTGGGTAGCTCACAAGCACTCAAAACTAGTAATTCTTAAAAAGCTGTAAATGACTCACATTAATAAAATCATGGCCAAAGTTTTACAAAATGGCTCCGTATTGAAAAATACAGAAGACAAATTGACATTCCCAAAGATGGGAAACATTGTTTTTTATTTTTTAGCCACAGGTCCTGAAATACCACAGCCAATATGACAGAGGCCATGCCAGCTCTAGGATTCTGGGAGGTGTAGTCCAACAACACTGTACTCTTTCAATATTCCAGTTACAGTTCCTTTTGTTCTGGAGTTCTCCTGATGAGTCCTTACTATGAGTTGATCTGTAACACTGAATATTGGCTCCATAATATAATATCACACCTTTATCATTCCTTAAAAGAATCTCCAAAATCTGTTTTACTAATAGAAGTTTAAGGGGAGTTGCTTTTTGCTAATGACATCTTCAGACAGAAAACACGAGAGATTTTATAAGCCCGTGCCACTATGGAAACATTGAAATCTATTCTTATAAGTCTCTGACAATGAACATAAATGGAACAAGAATTCACAAAACAAAACTTGAATGTATTATCGCCTTACAAAAACCAAAATGTTTTGAATGTGTACTTACTTCCCAAAGGTGCTGCGTGTTTCTGGTTGCTCCGGTCTGCACCTTCTCTGGTAGAAGGAGAACTCCCTGGAAAGGCCCAATCCAGGTGCCTTGTTGAATCCTCTGAGCAGCACAGATGCCATAGGCCAAACCAGGCACAGTGCTGGTACACAGACACACTTCCCGTGGCAGATCCCGAAGCCACTCAGGAATCTCAGGTGGAGGTGCTGCAGCAGCAGCACTACTAGTGCCCACAAGGCGGCGTAAAGAATGTAGAGGTCCGTGCATTGGGCATTCTCCATTACGGTTATCTGCACACATGTCACAGCCTGCAAAGAAAAGATTAAAACAAATTCAGAACTTGAAAACATAAATGTACACTTTGTGGCTATACCTTTCTCATGGTCATCCCTGGTTGTATCACCCATCTTCAGATGTAAGTTGTACTCAGGCACATTTCTAAGTAAGAGGTTGACGATATGTACATTTAGCCCACTGTTTGGTCTGCTACAGGGGACAAGCTGATTCACTCGCAAAGATGGTTATCAAACGTTGTCTTTCCTGCACCTTTCTGACCTTGTCAATGGCTTCTAATTTTTGGTGCAGGTAGAATTGCTTTCTTTTGATCCATTTTTGGCATGTGTGATTGCTGAAAAGAACCAAAAGCAGGCATTCCAACTGATTGCCAATATTGTGAAGTTGCTTAAGAAGAGAGCCACTTCAGGATGTCAAATCAATGATTACTGGCTTTGCAGAGGGGCCAAGGAAGTGAAAAAAATTTAGTGTATTCCGCCAGCACATATGTGCTGCATCACTTTAAGAAATAAAAGGCAAATTGAAAACTTTGTCCCAGAAGTAGGACAAGACAGCATAATGTACCAGAAATAGGACAAATCCCCCCTTATTGCCCCCCATCTCCTGATATACATTTTTTTAAAGCCAAACAAACAATAACTTCCTTGGTCCCTCTATATAGCCAAAGAAGTGTTTAATTATAATAATATCCTGAAGTGGCTCTCTTCTTAAACTATTTCATGATATTGGCAAATTAACAGTGGGCCAAACTGGACCACTTGAGGTCCATATACCATTTGGATGCCAGGAACATATGCCCTTCACTGAAGTGTACTTTGGGATGTGTAGGTAAGTTTGTTTATTCCTAACTGAGCTTTCTGCTGGTCTCAGATGAGGTGTGTATTAACTGTATTTATTGTACATGTTTGCATGTATGCATGTACTTACAGAACTTGCTTTTATATCTATATTAAATTTTAAAATACTTTCAGGGATGAATTATTAATTATAATCAGTGCTGATACATTTGAAATGCATAGTTTTGAAATAAGACAGCTTAAAATTATCATTTGCTGAATTGTGTTGCTTTTTTATTGTTGCCATCTGGTTAACTGTTGCAGACATTTTACATTACATATCTAGTGCTTTGTATATCATGTTATTTATCTAATGTTTATCACGGTATCAGTATTCTCTTGATATGAAACTATGTTACTGTCTTGATATTATGGTATGTCATTTTATTTTGTTTTGTTCTTTTCTTCTACATTTTTAAGTACGGTGATTTTAGCACAAACTTGCATGAGAAAACAGCAAATAAGTAAACTGATAAGATGACTGAAATTACCAGGAAAATAAAGTAACTTTTATCAATGGTGGCAGTGTGCATAAATAAAAAATTCCGAGCTTTGGTAAACCATAATCCCATTTAAGGCTTTTAATCAAATGATTTTCAGATGAAATATCTGATTGATGTTTCCCCATTAAAATGTACACATGTGTTACATTTATGCTAACTTTATCAATAGCAAGCTCTTCCTGAAATGAAAATTTCCCCATTGCTATTTCTGTTACTCAGTATTACAATATGTATCTAATTTTTATGCATGCCAGAAAATGTTGTACACATACGATAACAGATGTATAACATCTTTCTGTTATATTAAGAAAAACTTTAATAAGAGCTTAAATTGAGAAAGAGAACTTCAGAAGTTTTCATTTTATTCTATTTCATGTTAATGGTTTCCACATTCATTATATGATGTAAGTTCCGGACTTCCAAGAACACAGCTCATGCTTAGGAATATATTTTGCAAATAAAATAAAAATGAACCTCTTTGACTCAATTACAGTCTCTGGCATATTTTGCACATTATAATATAATCAACAATTTCAAACAAGTCTGTTACAGGAATATGTTAAAAGGTAGTACTTATTCTTCATTATTTACACAGCAATTCCCTTTGCACTGATAATACTGTACTATAAACATCAAGCATCTAAAAATAAAGCAAAAATATTCACCAGCTGGTCCGTGATTTGGTGGTTTAAACTAGAAATCTGGAATAAGTAAGCAGTCTGGAACCACACATTATAAACTCAGCAGAACTGATACAGCCTTCTTGATTCCAGTGTTAGGTAACCTTCTATGTAGCTTTGTATTTCAAAGGAATAAAATAAAATAAAATAAAATAAAATAAAATAAAATAAAATAAAGGGTTCTAAACATTCAACACAATTACATGTCACACAACTAAAATGCTAACTTTATTTCTTCCATTGATAAGTGAGTCATACACATTTTGGCGTCCAGTGACAATTTATTTATTGTACATTTATTTGTCTGTGTTCAGATATTCAATATACCATATTTTTCTGTGTATAAGATGATACGTTTGTTTAAAATCTTTAGACTAAAAATTGAGGGTCGTCTTATACACAGAAGTAAGTTGAGGCAAAAACCGTGCAATTGCAAAACAGCCCATACCTTGCCTGTGTAATCAGGCTTCTTTCAATCAGGAGGCTTAGCTTCCTACAGTCAGGAGACTTCGCTTCCTCCAATCACGAGCCTTATGTAACTGACCACTTCGCTAGATGTCAGCTGATGATGAACAAACCAATTGGTTTGTTCAAACTAACCACTTCATTGAAGGTGGAGCATGTAGACAGGGCTCAGATGCAATAGGGCCCACACTGGTATGTAAATATTACTTAATTACTAAATAAAAATGTATTCTGTTCTGTTTAAAATATTGATTTCTAAATTTGGGGGAATTTTATACACAAAAAAATATGGTAGATTGCTTGGGGTTTTTGCAGTTACCCAGATGCAAAATATAGTTGATTAGATATTCAAATTTATAACATAATTTTAAAGATTTTTTCCCAAAATGTGCTGCTGTATAGAACCACAATATGAAACACTGTGATGAGTTCACATTCTGCTCTAAAACATTTCATGCTAGAGCCAAAATATGATTTGGACTTTACCCAGGGATTTTGGCATGCCACATGAGACTGTTTACTTTTTCTCCGACTAGCAAATTCTCATACCACAACACAAACTACTTTTGTAAGTCTGCCTGTTTCAAAAACCATTCAAAAACAGGAAGGGTTGGTGTATAAGAAAATGAACCCAAAGCCCCCTTGGGCACATAGAACTAGCTGAACATTTCTTTAAATCTCAACATGTTCCTTGGTGGTATGCTTATTTATAGTGTAACACATAGTTAATTAAGTGCATTTAAGATTCCAACTATAAGACAGGTATGTGCTACTGGTCAAAAAACTATGATCTGTTGAAAGGGAAATGACGATGTCAAGTATTCATGTTTTCTTTTCCTTTCTCTGCTTATATGGTCAATTGCAAAAAAGAATATCCAAGCTTTTAAAATTAATTTCACCCTATGTGACATGAACTGGGAGATTCCCAGTGTGGTGTAGTGGATGGAGTGATGGCCTAGGACTCTGAAAAACAGGGTCTGAATTCTCACTTGGCAATGGAAACTCACTGGGGGAGTGGAACTGGTAAACTATTTCTTAGATCTCTCATGTACCTTGAAAGCCCTATTATATTATATGTACGTTGGTTCCGACTGGACACCACGGAGCACACACACCTGAACTGGGAAACTGATGTAAGAACTACAATAAACTATAATTGCAAACTATGATCAAACCATGATTTGAGTTTGTTGAACTGGAAACATTTCACATGAACAGAGCCAAAGAGAAGTATGGTCTTTAGCTATGGTCACAAGCATTATAATCTCCTATTCATAGCCATACCCTATTCACAAAGTGCCTGGTCAGTTTGAATCTGTTCACTTCAATGGAATTTAATACAATGTAGAGTTAAGTCCAATTGTTAGTCACAAGAAGAAGAGATAATTAAATCTATGATGTTTATGGAAGTGTTAACTCACAAAGTCCCACTCTTTCAATATACTATCATGCCTACACTAGTTGGCAATAACAATTGGATTTAGCCCTTAAATCTCAGCATTTTTATCTACACAGTAGTCAGAATCATACTGCCTGGATCCTTAAAGCCAAATGCACAAGAAACTATATCTCTTCAGGTGTCCATCTGACCCTTTCCCCTTCATCCACTGGTCACATGACTTGCTCTCTCATGGACGGAAAGCTAGAGGGAAAACAGTTCATGTGATTGTCCTTACATACATGGTTCTTCCTCAACAGAACTGTGACCAACACTTGGACTTAAACCAATAATTTTTGTGACTGTCTTCCCTAGCTATCTTCCTTAAAGCAGGAAACAACAAAGGCTAGAACTAACAAAAGCAGTATTGATGTCAGAAATACTTCATTACAGTGTTTTTTTCTGAGAAGAAATAGATAATATATTGTCTACAGATTATTCCTATTCTTTCTATAACTCTTCCCTTTCAGATAATACAATATTGGTTTTACCAATGTAGAGAGCAAGTAAAATGTTGCACCTCTTATTTATTTTCATATCCTATATGTCCACAATTCAGTTAAAAACCATCATTCTACGCAACTGGAAGTACCCTACCACACCACATACAGAAGATCTCATGGATCAGGCCATAAAAGAAAAAGAAAGACTTCAAGAGAAAAGGGCAGGGGAGTCAAAATAGATGGCTACTTTCCTAGAGTTGTTTGGTAATTGACCTAGACAGAAATGAGACTGGGAGAGCTGCTACACTAATGTTGTCTTCGCTATCCTCCCTTTATTTCCCTCCTCATTCCCAATCCTCCTCTGTTACATGGCTTCTCCTGGTTGCTTCTGAATGGTTGAAAGCACAAATGATCTATATGGCACAAAGGAAGTCATAATTGTTACCCTGTACACCTCTCAGAGTAGTATGTATTCACTAATTGGACCGTATATAAATTAAATTATAAATGAATAAATAAATCATTACAGGCCCATGTACTAAGGTTACTAAGTGGGGTGGGAGAGACAAATACTGGACGGAAATTATTGCGCCAGAATCAAAGATGGGCATGTGTAGGGTGTTTTTTTTAATTACAACCCATTAACTTG